GAGGTTGATGATTAAATGCCATTTCTTTGGCCCTGGTTTTGGTACTAAAAATATTGGGCTCACTTCTAATAATTGACTTGGTCTTGTCTCTCCTTTTGACACTAAAACTATGGCCCCACATCTAATAATTGATTTATTTCTATGTTTAACCAAGAACATTGATCTTCTGTAAGAGGATATTGGGGTGGATCTGGTTGCATTGTTAACTCTAATAATCCTTTTGGGAATAATGGGATATCTTCCCTTAATCATTTTATCACTAAACTCGAAACCTGTATTTTTCTGACCCAATAAATCACATGTTCTTCCATATGTACACGACCCACTACTGATATCTTTTGTTGCATCTGAGCGTAGTCATTCATATTTGGCACCATCTTGCTGCTTATTGTATCTATTTCTATAGACTGCATAACCTCTTGACTGGTATCCAATTTGGTTGTTGAGTTGTTGGTTTGGGGTTCTGTTTGGGTCTGAGATGCAGGATTTAGTGAAGTGGCCATAGCCTCCACAAATATAACATTGGTTTTGCTTTGATGTGGTGTATCGTTGTGTTTGGTAACTGGGACGAAAAAACTTATTTGTGTTTTGATAATTGTCTTGGTAGTTATTATAGTAACTATTTTTTCCCTGCAGATATTCTAGACCTTTTCCGGTACTGTAAGTCTTTTGTCTCTTGCTTCTTTTGACTTCTGCTATTGCTTTCGCCTTTTCGATTAATGAATCTTTACCCTTTAGCCAATTATCTTGAACATTAGGTAATGCTGAAGCTATATCCCAACCGAATCCTTCAGCCACCCTCAATGTAAACATTCTGTCCTCAGTTTTCTCTCTAGCGAAATTGATATGGTTTGCGACATCAGTTGTTGTTCTGGATTCCATTGCCAAGTCAAGCTCTTTTCCGATGGATCGCAATGCATCATACTCATGTTGATCCCGTGATTTATCAAATTTATGCTTTGGCCAAGATTCTTTTACTTCAGCCTTTTGTTTTGTTTCTTGCACTTGACATGTTACTGCATTTAACTTTTCATCAATTTTAATAGAGCATTTTCTAATTTTTCAAATCCTAACAACACTTTGTCTTCTAGGGATCCTGAGGGACCTTCTTCTGCAAGTGACTTCCGCTTTTTAGTTTCCCTATATGTTTGGGGTTGACAATCGGATACTTCTTCTATATCTCTTGGTAATCCTTCTAATGGCATGTTCCATGCTGTGCGCTTCTCGTTTCGTAATAAGTCATTTAGTGTTTGCGCATGTGGTTCAGTGTTTGGATTCAATGTGGCGGAGATTTCCGTTTGTTGGCTATAGACTATTGAAGCATCATCGGCAATTTCTTGCCCCAAGGTACTTGGACCTGCTAATACGTCTTTTTCTTTTCCTTTCCCACGGTTTATAACACCGGAATATTCCTTTAATTTTTGGACCAAGTCCATTTTATTTCCTTCAGTTGGCAATCCTAGACTACTGCATATTTCTAACAGGTCGCTCTTTGATAAGTTTGATTCAGTCATGTTTTTCTACTTAATAGAGAGCTATATACGATAGAGCCAGATAAAACAATCGGGCAGCGAAAGAATCAAGCACTTCCGTTCATCCCTTAATTCTATTCCCTTAAATTACTATTCATAATCTCCCTTCTGATTTCTTTCACCTTCCTTATTTGGTTTCACCATCTTATCCTTATTTGGTTTCACGTGTCATGAGTGATCCTCGCGATAATAACCCTTACGCTGACTACGTCAACTTACGGGCCATAATACACGTAACATATGTAAATCAGTTATATACAACATTTTGCAAGAACAATTTTTGTTAGAATGCGAAAAGACAGTTTCATAGTTAAAAATTTGTGATAGGGATATTTTTGTTCTAGAACATTCTAAAATTTTTTTTGCGTACTATACTGTACGCGACGCATCTCTAAATTAGAACATCGAACTATCCTAAAATGCCATCCAACCAACTTTCTTTACAAATAGCCGGTATCTAACAAAGTGGTATATTTGTAAGCCAAGCGGATTACCATTGTAAAGGAAATCGTCTATCTAAACGTTGTGCTTGTGGCAAAAATAAAGCAGGGATGTCATGATGGCAACAACGTAATCTGCCAAATAAATAACATAGCATTATTATATCTTCAGTATTTAACTTCATATTTACATCTACATGATAGTATCTTTTTTTATATTGCATATATCCATCGTTGCTATATTTTTTTAACTACGTAATAACTTATTTCGGCTAATAGTTCAACTTGAATCAGTTAAATTTACTTTACTGGGTCAAATTTATGCTGATTCGAATTTGATTACGTTGACTGGGTTAAATTTAACTTTACCTACATGATCCATAAAATTTACTTACATTCATGATTGTGAATTCATCCTTCTGACAGCAAATCTTTAATAAAGCTTTATTATAAAACCCATCAATTACAAAAGTTCGTTATGCTACATTAGCTAACAATTATAGAGAACTTATTTAAATTTACCAACTATATATGAAGTATTTTAATACTATCATAATACTAAGCAATATTTCATTTATATGTGTATTAAACTATTACATCCCTTGAAAATTTATAAATGATGTTGTCTTGTCTAAAAATTAATTCTAAAAGGTAATTTATAGAAATTAGCAATTAACTTCAATGTGGTGACATGATACCACTGGAACGTATTCCTCTACATCTTTTTTAAACTTATTATCAAAATCACTAGTTACACCCACGTAATTCAAAGTTCTTTTTCGTATGTAGAATTCGATTAGCGCCTCAGCTTGGTTCTCGTTATTAAGAGCATCAATTAGTAACTTCCTTAAAGGTGCATGGCAATTACTAAGCAAAATATCCATATATAAAGTTAAGCAAGAACATCTTATGTCAAGATATTCTAATGTTAACGGTAATATTTTTGCAAACTGTAGAACTAGTTCTGTGATGGGTGTGATGCTATCAGTACACAATTCACAGCATAAACTGAGAAATTGAAGTTTTTGTAAATTGTCAATAAGATCCAGGAGTTGTGAGGAAAAGTCAATAAATGAAATCTCGAGATATGTAATGTTTGGGCAGAAGGACTTAAGTGTTTCTATTAATAATGATTGATTTAAAATCTTTACTTCTCCTGTTTCAAGTTTTAGTCGTTGTAATGATGTGCCGGACTTTTTTAAAATTGTTACTATTTTCGAAGCATCAATCGTTCGGCAATCAACTATCTCTAAAGTGCTGAGTTTATAACCTACTGATTTTAACAGTTTTGTATATCTGCAATATTTGATACGAAGAATTTCTAAATTTTCACAATTCATTAACACCGTGAACTCAGCTCTACAAGCACAACTTTCTATTATAAGTTCCCGTAATGATTGCTTTTGACTCTCCAAAGCCGAAATGATGCCGTAGAATTTTTTAGGATATTCATCACCACCAACTAAGGTAAATTGCATAAGTTGCTCTTGTGAGTTAATAATACATACTAGTGTACGATATAATTGTGGATCATGATGAGAATAAAAGTCTTCTAATTTCAAAACACTAAGTTTCGTAGATCTTTTTGCCAAGATTTTTAATAATGCAATAGCATCATCTTCAATTAAGTCGCTAGAGTCTGATATTGTGCCCAAAGATAATTCTTGAAGTTGAGAGAAAAATTGCTCATTTTGTCCTAATGAGTAAAAGATTTCTGGCTTAATTTTAGTATGATTCAAAAAAATCAAATTTAATTTAAGCAAAGAGGCGCCATTTTCAATCAATAATTTAAATAATAAATTAGTTATGTGATATGTCAATGGGTCGTCAAGTGGTATCGAATCAATAAGCTGGAGTTCGAGCCATTTTTTAGTCCTCCATTCTAGATAAAATAAATCAAGAACCTTAAGGAATTTTGCATAATTAAATAGTGTTTCAGAAAATTTTAGCTTGATCCTCTTGTCTTTTAAAATTGATTTTTCGTCATCATTAAGGGATGAAAAATATTGGGAAATATATGACGGCTCTCGATTAGATGAAAATGGATCTTGCCAAAGAATAGGAATTGATATCTTGCACCAATGTCGACACACAAGTGTACATGAGTATAAGGAATAAATTTCTTTCTCTAAGTTGTTAAGAATATTTTCCATTATTTCGGGCATTCCGCCCATGAATATTTTTGATGCCATGAATTAATTTTGCACTAATGGAGAATAAAAATGCGATTTTAGAAAATAACTTAACATTAAATAATTTTGTGTTGATAACCAAAAAAGGAATTCAATCAAGAGGTCATAAACTATACGTAATCTTGTTTATTCCACTCCTTATTTCTCATTGTAATACAAATCAAAAAAGGTAATTTTTACATGTAGATCACAAGATCAGGTACGTACGTACGTACGTATATCTGATATAAGTGGGCAAAAATTTGCGAATAACGATAAATGTACCTTTAGATCTGCGAAATGAAGCAAAGGTAAGTTACCGTAATGAAGTGTTGAGATACTTTGTTTTTTTCAAGTCACTCTCGATATAACGGGCTCTTGATATAATGGAGACTAAGTAAAATCTTGATATAGTGGATCAAGATTCAGATCCACATCATAATAAATACTACTTGATATAATGGATTTACTACTAAAACTCATGATAAAGCGGATTTAAAAAATTCCTTACTATGTGCCCGAGGTACTACGTTATATCGAGAGTGACGTGTATTTCTCCGAGACTTTAGTTAATCAAAACAAACTATCCCACGCTTCTTTTTTTAGAATGTCAACATCAAAACCAAAAAAATATATTTATCACCAATTTCACTTATTTTTTTTTATCCAATTTCAATTGCTTTTAATCACTCCGTACACATTCACTCAAATAATTTTTTATAACACTATACTAGATTCAATGGAATATCCACTTAAGCTAACCAGCGACGAATTAACTGGCGACGAGAAGTGTCTATACCGCGTCGCAAATAAATATTTTGAAAACTCCAAGCCAGAGAGATGAAGTTTTCGAAAATATGGAGCGAAAAAGGGGCGATAAAATTTCATTTTATCGCCAAAAAAGAAATTTACTCAAAAATTATTTAGAAAATGGGACTATTACTGCTCGCAAATATTTGGGCCTCAAAAAAGGTGAGTTCTCTTAATACGATGTTAATATTTAATTTATTTAATTTCACTAAGCCCATGAAAAGTTAATGACTATATAATTTTCTTTTACAGACTATATCAAGAAAGATCTTCTGGATGAAATAAAAGAATCATTAAGAGCGGAAATGGTAAAAGATACATCCGACCAAGATGAATCATTAAGAGCAGAAGTAGAAAAGACATATCCGACCATGACGAAGCAGGATATTCACAGGTATTATAAATTTTAATAATTTGTTATTGCTTATATAAAAAATTAATTGCCTATGTAAAAAAATTCTTTCTAATTCATATATAGTGGAAGATAAGGAAGAAACAAAGAATAAAGATTCTGTTAATAGATATAACACAAACATTTGAATAAATTACCTCTTCAAGATCACTGGGATGCGTATATTACAAAATCCGACGTTGTAAAAATGTCGATAAACGTCTGAAACAATGGGAAAAAAAGTGCCAATACAAAGCACGCTTTTAGAGATTTTTTCACCTGGAGAATACTGTTGTAAATATTGGCACAAAAAAATATAATAATGTAGTATTAGTACTAGTGCATGAATTAAGTAGTCATTAGAGTTGGTCACCGAAACCTTTTTTGCCAAATCCGAAAGTTTCGGGTTTCGGATTATAGTTTCCGAAACCTCAT